TCTTTAATTAAAGCAACAGGAGCTGTCGAGCTTGTCGTTGTAGTCAGTGAATAAATAATTCATTTTGAGTGGGACCGCATATACGTAGCCGTAAACAATGTCGATATTTTCCGCAGGGAGTAGGAGACAGTGATAAATCTGATTTCGAATCAAAGGTAAACAATAATAAACTAAACATGCAAACCGCCATGGGAATGGATTTTGCTTTTGATAATATTAGGGAAGTAGCGAAGACATTGTCATTGGGAAGGGATAAATTACCAGATTCAGTTAAATTATGATTTAGGTGACTTAAAAGCAGAGTTTGAAATAACTTAAATGTGGTTGTTTATGAATACATTCAAGTAGTAGATTTTTTCGAAAAAGAGCGCTCGGGGAAATGATACCCTGTGAAAATTCTGAATATTTAGACCCTCAGAAAGACCAGATACACATTCTTACCTTGCGTTCACTTTTAGCTTCCACGTCTGTCTGTCAATGCTCTAATAATGTACATGAAAAATTTATCTGCTCATGAACAAATGTTGGGGGGATTAATACAACGAATGAGGTTTATATTATAATGTTTTGTTCTGAACAAATCTGTATTGCATTGCTTCTTCATCATACAGTACTTGTGCACAGGTAAGGGACCGGTCATTATTTATGGTGGGGGGTGGCACCGAAGAGAAAAAGGTTGGGTAAACAAAATTTTGAGTAAGTAAAAGGTTGGGTAAATGAAAAACACAACAACTCAAGGGTTGGGTAATAAAAATTTATTGTCATTTCAAAAACATGACTCACTGTCAAAATATCGTTGACTGTAAAGCAATGTCAACAGTCATTTGTCAATACAATATGTGAATCAATCAGAGTCACTATCTTGATCATTTTGACAAAACAAATGGTGTTTCCAAAGAAAGTACATGTGCAGACAACGTGAAACTTTAGACTGCAGAAAATTTCACAATCCGTTATGAAACTCATGTCACAGAAGTGGTATAGGACATGTGTGACAACTGAATGGTATCTTTTTGTAACGTTTTTGGCCAGGGGCGGGTAATTATTTTTCAATTGATATTTGAGGTTGGGTAATCAAATTTTTTGACTTTTTAATGGTTGGGTCAGCAAAATTTTTGCCACGAAAAACATTTCTCTTCGGTGCCACCCCCCACCATAAATACTGACCGCTCCCTAAAGTGTTGCACATTTGACTTTATAATATTGCAGTGACATGATATTGGATTACATGTCTCAAGTACGAAATTAAGCACTGGCGAAATGGCAAAGCGATGCTGATCTATGCGTAATGCAGGTGTGATGATTATTCCATGCATGCATGATCCGATCAGTTATAGTTTCTTTTTAAAAAATACAATTCGCCTTGATTTCACAATGGATGGATTTTCGGGCGGGTGTCCTGTGCAATAGACAACTTGCATGTTAAACTAATTTTTTATTTAGGCAAAAAAAAGAAGTAAATTCCCGTAAAGAACTTATTAAAATCAGTAAAATTGCAAAATTTGGCTACGAAATGTTGTAAAATACAGAAAATATAGCCTTGCGAAGTTTGCATGCATATTTTCAGTATGTTTGTATTACGTGCGGAAATTGTTACCATTTTTGAGCCGAAAATACAATGGTAACAATTTCCACACGTAATACAAATCAGTACTGAAAACATGCAAACTTCGCAAGCTAGGCTATATTTTCTGTATTTTACATTTCGCAACCAAATTTTGCAATTTTACTAATTTCATTATGTTCCTTTTAACTGTTGTGTTTGATTCCCTTCTCAGTTACTTAGATTAAAATTTAGTCTAACATGCAAGTTGTCCATTACAAGACAAATACAGATTCTTAACCAGATTCTTAGTTTAGATAAAAGTTGAGTATTTTACTGCATTCTACAGACTGAAACCCCATCCATCGAAATGTCGTTATATGGAACCCCCTCCAATTTCAGTACATAAATAAAAAAATTACGGACGGCAACAACTCTCATTTTGTCATTTTGTGTGTTTTTTTGTTTGTAACTGACAAATACGTCTTTCGAGGTTGGCTGGCCGTCTGTTATTCTGTTAAGAGCTCTTTGCGTTTGTCGCCCCCGCACAGCTGGCTGCCAAATATAGCTAAACTGAGAAATATTAAGCGTTTTCCTCACAAACCAATCAACCTAGCTGCATATTGACTTATATAATATTTTCATGATAAAATTTGTCTTGTACAATTTTTAGAACTTTTCCAATGCGAAACTAAGTATTGGAAAAGGGGGAAATATTGAAAGGAATAATTGTACTTTATCTTTAATGACATGCATAAATTGTTGCACAAACCGGATACGTAATATGAATGCAAATTTATTCTAAATTGTCGCCAAAGACAAAAGAACGAGCCAAATGCGACCAGATCTAGATGGCAGATGCTGTGTATTTAGGCTTCTGAAATTGGTATACTTTCATCGTGGTTCAGTGAAATCGGTAGAAAAATTGTATGTTACACAAGACATTTATATTATAGCATAAGCGAGAAGCTACGTCGAAATAGGTCAAGTGATTACTCGATATGGGAGTGAATATGTGTTGTATTAAAGAGTAAGTTCATATTGCTATATATATATACGTGTACGCATGATAATGATATAATTTGTCTATATGTTATAGGCTCTGGAGTCTGGATGTTCAATATCTGAGAGCATTTAAGATTTTAAGGCCTTAAGATCTGGTCGGAAACTATTTCATCCGTGTATTCCTAAAATTCAGGCATATGCAATCAATATCATGAGTTTGACATGTTGTTATATATTGTCTGCAATTGTGTATACTGTATTATTAGCGTACTGTTTGATTAAGATCAGTCCGAAAATGTTTTGTCGGTATCCATTCATTCAGCTTCGGCTGAAGATAGTCAGTTTGGTCAAGCTTTTTAGCGGGATGACTATAAATTCAGACCGGTCTGAGACTGAGTAATATTTTAATCCGCTCTCATGTCAACAGCGATTATTATAGGCCATGATGACAAATTAAAACGGTATATCACTCTGTTCTGATATCGATCGTTCCAGTCATCTGTAAAATATTATATAAACGAAGCATCTTTTAATTTAAACTATGGTTTGAAAGAAGTTCAGAACTGCCGAATTAGACAGGCAGATAGACTGAGGAAAAAACTCACCATATCGAGGAGCAATTCCATTTTTCTTTCATCTTGTGCCCTGAAGGCTAGTAAGTACATTTCTGTATGTCGGCGGCGTTAAATTTTCCTGTAGGCTTACATGTTTTTCTTTGAATTCAGTTGTATTAAAGTCCACTACAGAACTTTAAAAAATGTGAAATTTCAGAACATTTCTAATTAGCCATTCCGAAGTTGTCGAGTGACTAGGGACCAGTGTTAAAAAGTTTCCAAATTAAGAAATGAACCAAATCATTAAAAAGACCACCTCAAAATTAGTAAGTACACAAAGTTTGAAGACGTTTACATGAATACCCTTCCAATAATTAATAAGCTTTCGAAAATTGTGAAATGACTGATTAAAAGATTGTTTTTGGGACGCGGCGCGTCCCCCCAAACAAAAATTACAGTACATGTCATAGTAAATATTGCGATTTTCGAAAGCTTATTATTCAGAGGGTATCCATATAAACGTCTTCAAACTTTGTATACTTACAAATTTTGAGGTGGTCTTTTTATTGATTTAGTTCATTTCTTAATTTGGGCACTTTTTAACACTCGTCCCAGTCCTCTCATCAACTTTGGAATGGCTAATACATTAAATAACTTGCATCAATAGAAAGCTCACAAGAAACTACATGACATGACATTTAAATGGTTTGCTGGGATTTTCAAGTGGTTTTCGAGTTATTGTTCAGTCCAAATGTGAAAAATACTACCACAATCTCGCAAAAAATCTTAATGAGTACTTGCCTGAAAACACGCTTTCAACAGCTCATAACTCAAGAAGAACTTGAAAACCCCTTGTAACCGGTTAATGTCTTATCTATAGTTTATTGCAACCTTTCAAATTATGTAAGTCATTTTTGTTAGAAACATGTATTTGAAATTTCGTATTTTTTAACTGTAATAGATGGTTTAATTAATACAAAATTCGAAGAAAAACGTGTCGGCAGGAGCCCACAAGAAATTTTAACGCCGCCGACATACAGAAACGTACTTACTTGCCTTCAGGGCACAACTATATGAACGCAACATGGAATTGCCCCTCGATATGGTACGTTTTCCATAATTTTGTTCCTCTATCTGCCTGACTAAATCTCGTATTACTGTAGACTTCAAGGTATATACTTATTATTTATAATAATGGAAACTTTATTGAAATTATATACATATATATACAATTATAAATCTCACTAATTTAGGTAATTTATAATTGACTACTTGAACCTGCTTAATATTTATATATTAATAATGAGTATCCTTAAATGTTCAGTAATTCCGGATTTAACCAGTCCTTATCTCTGCAACAAAATATATAATATGTTGTCCTAATCGCGATAGACATAATTTTCCTGATAGCGAAATATTGGTGTCTTTTATCAAGACCTAGATCAGTTAACATATCTAAAAAGGAATGACATTCTTTTGAGAAAACGCCTAAAGAACTAATTGACAAATTTACAAATTTTACGGACTTAAATTGTTTCTTTTGCTGTGTAATGAGATCTTCGTATCTTCTTCTTTTCCGATCAACATTTGTTTGTAGATTAGACTCATAGCCAACAGAAAGTTCAAGGATATAGAGACAATCCGAGTTGATAGATAGAAGTAGGTCTGGGCGGAATGTGTCACCAGTTACAATTGATGGGCTTTTATAACCAGGAAGATCGACGAAAAGATTGGAGTTGTTTACAGGTTGTAGCGTTTGTGCTATGAAGTTCAGAACAGAATCATGTCTCCATGTAAATCGTGGGAGGTACGTTTGACATCCAGCAACTACGTGTAAAAGGGTTTCAGGGTTTAAGCAGAAGGAGCAATCAGAGTTGGACAATATTCCCCATTTAGTAAGGTTTTTACGAGTTGGAAGTGAGTTATTAATGTAACGAATGGTGAAGTTATAGATGTTCTTTGGGAGGTTTGATTGGGATTTAGACCATATACCGTTTAATTTCGACAGTGAAAACTTAATGACATTTGAGAAGAAGGAGCCTTGCAAAATCAGATGATTCTGCAGTTTGTCTTCTTGTCCGGAGGTAAAAGTTTTAAGGACTTCCTTTGTCGAGGTGTAGACGTCGTACTGAATGTTTTTGCTTTCAGATGTTGTTTTCCAGAGGTCTTTTATGGAATGATTTGGAGAGGTCTTTAAGGCGTTACGAGCAACTGTTTGGCACTGAACAAACTTAATTGACGGCGGGTAGATATTTAGACCAAACTTGTTACTGGTAAGGTAGACGTTAGATAGAGTTCCTGATATAGGTATTTCAAGCCATTTACGTACGTACTTGTTCACCACAGAATCCATATTTTCAGAGACCCAGGTTTTTGATAAGGTGGTTACAGTGAAATGCCAGGAAAGTTTGGATAGGAGGTAACGACTATAAAGCAAAAGTTTATTTTTTGGGTGCAAAGGTTTGAGATCAATTTCAGACATAATGTCGTCCATGAGAGTGATTAGCTCTTGTTTGTGTTCTTTTTCGGACATACTGAAGTCAAAATATTTCCCCAAGTATCGAAACGACTCTCCAATTTTAGTGGCAGGTATCAATTCATTGTTAATCAGAAGTTTAGGTAAATATTGGATAGATTTTGTGAGACTTTTCCTGATCCCAAATGTTGAACACTTATCAACCCTGACAATCATGTTAGACCACTGGCACCAGATCGAGAATCGATTTAAAAGATGTTGATTTTCTGAATCTTGACCGCTTATTACCGCAGCATCATCAGCGAACTGGAACCAATGGACTGGGTTTAAAAGATTTGTAATGAAACCAAATTGCCGGTATTTGTCAGTTTTTATATGTTGAATAAAGGTATTGATGCACATATTAAAAATCAGAGGACTAAGACAGTCTCCTTGAAGAACTCCACGACCGACAGTTATAAATGGGGTGGAGAATTCTGATGTTATAAATGCAGTATTGAAGTCCGTATACAAGCTCTGTATTATTTCACTAACGTCTTTGGGAATGTGATGATAGTCGAGGACAGATTGAATTAGATTATGATGCACTTCACCAAAAGCATTCTTGAGATCGAGAAGGGTGATGACAACAGAGCGCTGCTTTATTCTCGCTTGGTTGATAATATTTGTCATTTGAGCAGTGTGTTCCAGAGTGCCAGACAGATTGGGAGTGAAACCTTTTTGAATCTGATGTTCAATAAAGTTATTAGTAGTTAGGAACGAGAACATAGCATTGCGGAGACAAGAGGTAAACACTTTTAGTGGTATAGTTTCTAGAATAATTGGGCGGAAATTGGAGGGGTCACTTGTATTGCCTTTTTTGTGGATAAGAATAGAACACGCTTTTTTCCATTCAGCTGGTACAGATTTCGAAGACCAGACGCTACGAATCACTTCGGTTAGATAAGTGCGCAAGAATGGACAACGTTTGAAGCAAATGATTGAAAGTTGATCTAGAGGACAAGGCGATCCAGAAGCTTTCATTCTGCGAATAATGTTTGTAACTTGGCGATATGTTGGGGGTTGAAGGTCAAAGTTTACGATAGGATCGGATAACTTCGGAATCCAGCTTGGAATACAAAACAGTTTGTTTGGGTTAATTGAACATAGAGTTTTCTTGAAATAGTTTAGGCATTCTGACATTGTAAAGCATGGAAGTAGGCAAGTATTCTTATTCAGGACGTTCTTAACGTAACCCCAGAAATTTCTACTAATGTAATTGTCGTGATTGAACGTTTTGTTTTGGTTTTGAGTTGTATTGATTTGACAAGCATTACGCAACTTATCACGCAATGTGCGAGCAAAATAATAATAATAATAATAATAATAATAATAATAATAATAATAATAATAATAATAATAATAATAATAATAATAATAATAATAATAATAATAGTATAGTAATAGTAATAATAAAATATTATTATTTACATTTATTTACAACACACGCGCAGTAGCGACAGTAGCCTTTCAGAAGATCTGTTTTTCAAATGGCTGTAAATCGCTGTATAAATATTAGCACAACACAATATTGATATAAATACGATTATTGCAACTTTATCAAGATACCGTAATTTACTCGTTAAGCGATCTACCTTTAAATTATCAGTGCTGGCGAAGCGGTGCTTGTTTGAGAGCGGTGCTCTTCAGTTATAAAACTATTTTAGTTTAATTAGAATTTTATTAGAAGAAATATAGGCTTTGCAACCCGTAGGTTGAAATACCCCAGTTATTTACAATTGTATACTAAAACTGTCTGTACCAGTGTGGGTAGTACCAATGTGAAAATGCTGTGCTGAGTGGTTTATATTACTACCTTAAAAAATAAGCAGAAAATCGACGTTTCGAGCTAATCATTTACAAATAGTAAAAGATGCTAAAATCCTAAGCTAAAATTAAATACAATATATCATCAATATCTATTAAGAGCATGCATGCGTTGTCAATGTTCGTTATACAGTTCGTTACGCATGATGGTATAAAAGAGTTTCAAATAAAAACGGCGTCAATCCTACATTTAATTGTTGCGAAAAATTATAAATGGGAGAGTTTTTTTATATTGGGTTAGGTTAGATAACGCCTAACGGCTAAG